ACAGGCTGGTGTGCTTCTTCCATGTGGGCTTTGTTGTTTCTCAGTTAGATGGCCCCTTGTTTATCTTCCAGCCTGTGGGACCCCAGAATGATGGTTTTTGAAGCAACTTTCATTACTTTTCAAAAATCCTGTGCATACCCAGGGTTGTGGGTGGTGTGAACTGCCTTTGAATTGTTTTTGACTTGCAATGACCTCTTTTGACCGTGCAGAACTTCCCCTTACGGTAACCTATACTTGAGGGGTGGGAGGCCTGGTTGCAGAGCAGGTACGTGTTGGGCTGCTAGCTGCAAGGTCAGCAGTTCAAAACCACCAGTCACTCCTCGGGAGAACACAGCATTTTCTACTCCTGTAGAATGACAGTCTCAAAAACCGATAAGGGCAGCCCCGCCCTGTCCTGTAGCATGGCTAAGGATTGGCATTGACTCCATGGAAGTGAGTTTAAGCTATGCCATGGCCAGCCCTTTTCCCTACTGAGCCACTGAGTGCGGGTCAAGCGGCCAAGTGCCACCAGGGCGTCTTACTTTTACATTACTTCTGCATTTGATCCTGATGTTTGGGTAAAATATTAAATAATTACCTAAATATCAGAATCAACATTTTGATCCAGGATTGTGAGTGCCCCTTAGGACTGACCAGAGCGAATGGAGCCCCACCTCAGTGTGGCCCGGAGTGGCCAGGGTCCTGGAGAATGGGCCTGCGCAGCCTTCTTGCCCTCATCCCATGGGCATGATTAGCTTGAGCCGTACGAGAGGGCTGTTTTTGCAAGTCAAACACAATGAGACATGGCTTCACTACTACTGACCACTCGGTCTGGGTTGGAACTGGGTGAATTGGTTCTCAGTCACGCTGCTAAGACAACAACAATGGAGGTTACAATCAGTCACTTCACATGTGCCGACTTCCTCGCTGCCTGGCCCTGTGCTGAGCGACGTCGCGTGGGTTTATCTCGCTCGTGAAGGGGTAGGGTGGTTTTTCTCTGAGTTAGTTAATTGTGCCAACCTGGCCGATAATCACACGTGGGGCTAATTGAAGGGATAAATGGGTGGTGAGCCTCGCCTTTCTAGTTCTCGGGTCTCTTGTTTTGTGATGGTTGCACCGGGTGCAGCTGCCTTAGCAGTTCCCTGCTTCAGCTGGCAAGATTGACTTCCTACAAGACATCCCCAAGGAGAAGCCGCATGGACCTATCCCGATGCAGCCCTGGGTGCTGGAGCAGCCCTGTGGAGATC